TGAGCTTGACGCTTCCATTTCTGGGGAAACGTACCTTCATTAGCCTACCATTAGAATTCCCCTTGGTCTTATCACGTCATACAGACATCGAAACGCCGCATACGCGAGTGTTGTAAAGAAAAATATTTGAGCATTAAATTAAACTAAATATTTTAGTAATTCTTACTTTAGTATAATAGTCTTCAAAAAGTTGTTTATAAATATGTACAATTTACTTGGCATTTTCGATTGCTCCGAATATTGTTTTTGTAAATTCTTCTTGATTTATATCCTCAGCGGATGGATGCAGTGTGATTCGAAAGGTCGAACAAACTGTACATGTGATATATATGCAGTATAAACGACTTGTTGCCTGTTATCATGAAAAATCATATACGCGGATGAAGAAGTCTAGTAATATCTTAAAACAGTTATACTGTTCTTGCGTCTATAATCATTGTCAAGGAGTTAACCACGCTGACCGTTAAGGTATGCGGTATTATTTTTAGCAATTTATTATTATCAGTTCATTTACATACATTTAAGCCTTTATCTTGTTTTGCAATACGTTAATTGTAGCTAGGCTTTGTTTAATACTGCATTGTGTTAAATTTCTATTTCTTTGCGTTAAAAAGGCCTATGGGCAGCATTGCTCTGATGTGGTGAGGATTCTTTCATTACGCGAAAGCTGGCCATTCTTCCTTTACAAGGTAATACAGAGATGAGAGTCATCGGCAATACATCTTGTACCGTATGACATGCTATAGCGCAATTAATGTAACCATAATCATACAGTATGATTTATGCTGTATGCTCTACAGTATACAATGTTCTTTAGATCTGCCGGGACCCGGAACTCAATTTTAAGCATACTCTAACCTCGCTCATATCAAGCATAACAAACGACGATGCGTATACTGTAAGTACTTCGATAGTTTTCTTTCGTTTGACAAGTCAGCAGGCATTCCTCATTAATATACCAGTTCGTTCTTATGTCGGTTGTTGTAATGTTAAATTCATAACATACGCGGTTCAGGTCACAATAAGAATGAAAATTTTGCTTTGCTGTCAGTGAATAATCAGCATTAACCTCGCAGATAACTTTGTATAGAAAAAGTGCTAATCATCTTGCTTAGTGATGGCACTCGTCGAGACAACGGATGCGCATGCTGAGCTAAATAAGTGAACGTTGTTATGACATTACGTAACGAAGGACGATAAGCGATCAGAACACAGGCGAAGCTTGCTGTTGCTAACCGATCGATACGACTAACGACGTCGTGCAGCAGCTGACTTAGGGTCCACCTTGTGCGCCTTTCAGGAAAGATTATTCTAACAGGAACGATTGTAAGCATTTTGCGTACATCTCCATAAGAACAGCAAGAGCGCATGGTTATTTTTATTGGGCCTTATGTTTGAGCTGGTTGGTCTAGTGCTACTAATTGACAGACAAAGACGCTTTTTGATCTTTAGCTCGCTTCTTTATGGTTATAACAACCGCGATTGTATTGCAAGAACTTAGAAGTTGACATTGAAAGCGAAGATCTGAAACAATGAATGACATATGTTGGTTTATTACCGCATTGAACCTTAATTTAGGTTGAACAATTAAGTTACTTGCGCAATATATTAATATTTTGTTAATAAAAAGCCAACAAGTGTAATTTCACCCCGGATGTTGCTCTAAACAGCGAAGAACACGAAATACTCGTTGCACTGTTGAGTGGTGTTCAAACGCTTTGGGCCTGACGGCCTGCTTAAATGGCAACACAGGAATTTACGAACTGCTTGGTTTTGGAGTACTTATTCATTTAGTTTTATAAATGTGTAACATTTAACATTGTACAGGAAAACCAGCCACGGCATGAATGTGAATCAGTGACAGTGTTGATACATGTTAATATACAGCAGTTATTGTGCTTTAGCATTTTTTACTGTGCTGTTGCGCAGTTACAGAATAAGTAAATCAAATAGCAACGGTCTAATTTTTTTTCAGGAGCAGTTGGAATACTGTGAAAAAATTCGTAAAATCTGTTTTCCGGATCAGGGGACATAGTTCTGCACGTCTTTGTGCTGTATCTACGTGATGCTGCTTCGCTACTGTTGTTGCAACTGGTTATCGCTGAATCGATGCGGAACAGCAGTTGTGAAGGAATCTCACATTTATTTGTATATTTGTTATTAAAGCCATGTATGCCTGCTGTGTTTCGTTGTTAGTTATTGCTTGCCTGTTGTTAAAAAACTAGTTGACGTTGATCAATATTCAGGTTCATTTTGTTTCACTTAATTACGTTACGTTCCTTTTATCTGAATCAAATCTACAAACACAGTGGGGAACAGCACGATCCGACTGCACAGTGACGTAATTTTCAAATATATGGTTTGGTTTTAGAGTGCATTTTCTCTAACCGCTGTGATAGTCTTGAATTTTTGTTACTGTCAAAAAAACGGTCGCGAACAAGGCTACTCTGATAGAAAGTGAAATCGATTAAGCAAATTAACGATTTCAACTCTACTCTTTTCTCCTGCCACTAGTGTTTTGACACCGGGCTTG